GAAAGGAAAGGAAAGGAAAGGAAAGGAAAGGAAAGGAAAGGAAAGGAAAGGAAAGGGATAGGACAATCAGCAGCAAGATGGATGAACTCAGTTACAGTGGTGATGAATGTACTTTGGAAGACTGAAAGACCAGGTTGAAAACAGAGCAACCTGGGGGGAGGGGGAATCTATCTATGTGGTTGCTAAGAGTCGACACTGACTTGATGTCATATAATCATTCAATCAAGCTGGTACTCCTCTATTCTAGAATGTGCAATGTAAATATCCCATAAAGTGTTCTTAAATATCAAGGGCTACGAGGTAAGCAGAATTAAATGACAATAAAACAGAAGTCTGGAGAAGAACAAACCAGCATAGCTAGTAGGTTCAGGTGAATGAAGGGAGGTTGGGGAAGAACCTACAAGGCAAAGGCTTCTGTGAAAAATATTGTATCTCAAATACATTGCATGTGTTGTAGGGGTACAGGCAATAGCAGGCTGGCTTGCAAAATACGCTCTAGATTAGAGATCCTAGTCTGTATAGAATAGCATAAGCATGGTTGGGGTAAATTGGGCTTTGATTGCACTGGTGGCATACTAGCCAATATATATGCCTCATCTGACAAGTATTGTCCATATTGAAGATTAGTTTATAAAGGGTACTGGTAGAATTCTGACTGAGAGGTAACAATGAGCAAAATATGGAAATGGTAATGCAGCTATATGTTGATTAGGGTGTGCAGACTGGATCTTTGCTCTTCAGCAGGTTATTAAGAAATATTTGAATGTTAGAATGAAATTTTATTGTATATTTGTGGATTTAGAGAAGCATATGTTAAAGGGAATAGGCTTGAATTTTGGAATGCTTTGAACCAATAGGAGATGAAAGTTGGTTGTTGAATAGAATAAATGAAATGTGATAATAAAATGTAATGTGATGAAAGTTAAGGATTAGTGAGAACAATTGAAATGCTAAGTGAATAGCTTAACACTTAAGTGAGAATAAGACAAAGATATTCCCTTAGTTATTTAATATATTCCATGAGTAAGGAATGCTTGTGGTGTTATTAATTGGGGATTAATACTTTTTTGTACTTTTTTGTATTCACTCAATGCCATGTTGTTGGCTGTGAACCCCAACAATTTGCAGCAAATGTTAGCCAGATTGTATGATGTAACAAGGGCCATGAATTTAAAAATCAATGTATCAAAGACCAAGATAGTAGTATTTGACAGGAAAAACAAAATGAATTATTTTAAGTTTAACTGGCAAAAAAAATAGAGGTAATGTTATGCACTTTAGTAGAACTTTGACTAAAGATGGAGAAATGGATGAAGAAATGTTAAGATATGTAAATGTTGGCAGAAACATAGTGAATAGTGTGTAGTCCTTTATGTAGAAAAAGGAAGAACAATTGTTAGACGAAGGGACAATTGCTTTTCATAAGAGTGTCTGATTTGTTAAATGGAAATGAGAATTGAGAATGGTGAGAGAAACATAAAATTGTTGAATTCAGTGGGAATTTAATAGTTCAGAACTGTGTGTGGTTGAAAAAGAAAGAAATAACTTGAAGAATGAATAAGTACTGAATGAATGTGGATTGAATATGAAAGTGAATGATCAGCATGGAACAAATACATGGAAACAGATTGGTCACATAGAAAGAATGAATTATTATTGAATCACAAAATAAATACAGTGGTACCTCGGGTCACGAACGCTTCTGTTCACGAACAATTTGGGTCACGAACAGCACCGTTCACAAAATTTTGCTTCCGTTCATGAACGCTGGATCGGATGACGAACAGGATCTATGGCCATTTTCCCTGCCGTGACATGTGGTCGTGGCTTCCTGTAGGGAGGGGGACTCTCCCTCCAAGCAATAACCGCCTCCCCACCCTTCCTGTCCTCCACGCCAGAAGTCACAAAGAGCAAGGTTAGCGTTCTCTCTCTTTGTACTGTACTTTGTGTCATATTTTTGTGATTTAAAAAAAAAATACATATGGTTCAGAATGGATTAACCGTAATTACATTGAACCTTATGGGAAAATTTGATTCGGGACGTGACCAAAATCGGTAAGTGACCAAATTCGAAGGGGTCAGAACGGATTAACCGTATTTACATTGAACCTTATGGGAAAATTTGATTCGGGACGTGACCAAAATCGGTAAGTGACCAAATTCGAAGGGGTCAGAACGGATTAACCGTATTTACATTGAACCTTATGGGAAAATTTGATTCGGGACGTGACCAAAATC